CTTCTCCTCCATTCTCCTCTTGGGATCCAGCTTCCTAATAGGAAGGTGCTGGGGAGCAATGTGTGCTCTCAGTTGGAATTTCTACTTAGAGAAAAACTTCTAAAAAACCTTCTTCATAAAAATAAAATTATAAATTATTTTTATAATTTACTCCCATTTTACAAAGGCCAGCTATAACTAATCAAACTACTGGCTGCCCTTTGTGAATGTGGCAAGGGCTGCTTTATTGACACAGTGACTTTGACTCACAGAGTGCAAGGACTCAGAAAACCTTGCAAATGCTTTAAGATGGGGATGCTGAGGCTTGCAGTGGCCACTCACCTGGATTAGGACCGTGTTCATATTTAGAAGTAGAGTGAGGACTAGAGCCCAGAATTCAAAACCATATCAACCAACCCTCACCACTTCTCTTTCCTAACATAAAGAGGTTGGGCTTCATCTTTTTAAAGAGGTTTTTTTTTTTTTTTTGCTCGCCAGAAAGACAGAGAGAAATAGAGAGACAGGAAGTGAGAAATCACGCCCCATGGGGGATGGTCATGCCACAATCCCTTCTCCTCTTGGGACCGTGGGCACACACGCACACATGCCCGGTGTGAGTTAGGCCATTGGATCTGGGACTCAAACCACAGTAGTCTACATGAGTCCAGCGACATAGCTGTTATGCCAACTGCTGGTCCCTGGGCTTCATCTTAAAAGAACAAACTATCTTGAAACCACATTATGCTGGCAGCACACTGCACAACAGTGAAAAAGAAACAGGTGAGCTAATATACAGAGTAAAGGGAGTACGTAGACGAATGTAGAATAACCGCTATAATATACTGTCAAAATGATGAAAGAAAAATGCAGAATGTTAATGACAGTTTGCTATTTTTTTTTTTTTTTTGGAGAGGTTTTCGCTATAGGGTACGTGCACTCGCCAGACAGACAGATAGAGACATAGAGACAGAAAGCGAGAAATCACCCCCCAGGGAGGATGGTCACGCGGCAATCCCTTCTCCTCCATTCTCCTCTCGGGATTTTGGGCATGCACGCACCCGTGCCCGGAGTGAGTTTTAAGCCACCGGGTCCGGGACATGAACTGCAGTTGACTATGTGGGAGTCCAGCGACATAGCCATTACGCCAACTGCTGGTTCCCGATAGTTTGCTATTTTTTGTGATTTTAAAAAGGGAGGGCATGAATACGTGAGTATCTGTGTGTGTCTGCACACACACACCTATTCACATATACATTCAGAACATGCTTGCATATGCACACATAATCCCTGGAAAGACATGAAGAACTAGGAACAACTGATGTCTCCGGGAGTTGAGTGAGAGGAAGGAGGCTTAATTCCAACTATAGAGACTTTTATCTGAATCTTTTTTTAAAAAACATGTTACACATCCAAGAACTTTACTGAGATACCAATAAATAACACCTTATTTGTATAATACGAACCAACATTTTGAAATGGAATCCACTATAGAACTATTATATGTGAATTAGTTCCCCAAGTAGTTAAAGATGAGAGTCTTTAAAGAAGGAAGAAAATGACAGGGAGGGAGGAAGTGATCACTCATCTGTACCAGGTAAAAATTCAGATAAGCAGGTTACAAGGTGGAGTGTTGATGTAACTTTCCTTCAGCATGCCACAGCGCAGGACTGTAACTGACTGGAGATTTCGATTTTCACTAGGTTTCTTACACTAGGAGACACTCTCACTACATAATCTTTATGTATGTGAACCTGTCTTTATTTCTGTGTGCTTTTTCTTCTTAGGAAGTAATGGGAAACCAGCAATTAGCGTAATGGCTATGTCGCTTGACTCCGACGTAGTTGACCGCAGTTCGCGTCCTGGACCCGGTGGCTTAAAACTCATGCTGGACGTGTGTGCGTGAGTGCCCAAGATCCTGGAGGAAAAGAGATTGCAGTGTGGCCATTCCCCCTGGGGGGTGATTTCTTGCTTTCTGTTTCTCTGTCTCTCTCTGTCTGTCTGGCAGGCGCGCACGCCCTATAGCAAAAACCTCTCCCCCCACCCCCAAAAAAGAAAGTAATGCATGATGGGACCAGCAGTTAGTGTAATGGCTATGTCGCTGAACTCCCATGTAGTCAACCACGGTTTGAGTCCCAGACCCAGTGGCTTAAACTCACACTGGGCGCGTGTGCACGCGTGCCCAAGATCCTAAGAGGAGAATGGAGGAAAACAGATTGCAGAGTGGCCATTCTCCCTGGGGGGTAATTTCTCGCTTTCTATCTCTCTGTCGGTCTCTGTCTTTCTGGCGAGTGCATGTGCCTCATAGTTAAAAAAAAAAAAAAAGAAAAGAAAGTAATGCATGATTACTTTAGAAACCAGAAAGTACAAGTAAAATATAAAGAGGACAGAAAATGAGTTACCCAGAATCTTTCCAACCAGAAACAATTTTACTAACATGTCCTTCCAATTTTTTTTCTACACTTTAAGTTTGCTCAGTTTTTTTGCATAGTTGGGATTAGTCTATATATGCTATTTTGTATACACCTGACATTTTTTCTCATTAATATTACATCAAAGTTACTTCTGTCATTAAGAAACTCTTGGTAAACACTTTTATAACTGAATCACATTCACTAAGATGATTTTCCTCCTTTTAATCTGTTATTGTGGTAAATTAATATGGACAGAGTTTTTTAAAAAAGTTAAACTAACCTTGCAGTGCTAGAATAAACCAAACTTTGTAATGCTATATTATCCTTTAATGTAATGCTGGACTCAGTTTGTCAGCATATTTTTATCAATCCATTTTTCTGTTCTCTGGAACAGCTGATGTAAGATTGGAGTTAGGTTGTTGAGAAAGTCATGCTGTATTTTTCTGTTTTTCTATGCGAAAGTGTGTCATGACTTTCCCAACAACCTAATATTTATTCCTTAAGTGTCTGGTAGAACCGGCCAAGTGATGTCACCTGGGCCTGGATTTTCTTTATGGGATGGTTTTTAATCACTAATTCCATTTTTAAAAATAGTTATGGGAATAATCAGGTTTTCTATTTCTTCTTGTGTCAATTTTGGTAAATTGTGTTTTTCTAAAATTTGTTCATTAATATCTTTTAAAATAATCTTGTATTATCTGTGTAATAACTATAGAATATGTGATGTGCTTCCTTTTCATCCTGTTAGTATTTGTATTTCTCTTTTAATTATCTTTCTTGTTTCTGATTAATTTCTTCAGGTTTATCAATTTTATTAGCCTTTCAAAAGAACCAACTCAAACATGAAATGTTTCTAAATTTTCTTTTTCATTATTTTCTGCCCTTACCTTTATTGCTTCTTTCCTTTATTCTCTTTGGGTTTCTTTTTATTTTCTAATTTATTGGACAGAATGCTTAGCTTAATACTTTCTTTTTTTTGGTAATACTCTGAAGGCTGTAAAATTTCCTTTAAATACTTTAGTTATACTCCCCATTTTAATACATAGAATTTTCATCATTTTTTGTTAAGATATTTTCTATTTCCTCGTTACTTTTTTTTTTTCAAACTATATGTTCAGCAGCTTATTTCTCAAGTTTCAAATTGGTTTACAAAGATTTCCTAGTCTTTTTCTTGATTTCTAGACTAATTTCATTTGATCAGAGACCATATCCTACTTGATTTCAGTCCTTTGGTATTTGTTTAAGAGTTACTTTATTGCCTAGAATATTGTAAAAACCAATAAATGTTTATGTATGATTGAAAGAAATGTGTATTTTGCAGTTGCTGGGTAAAATATTCTCTGCATGAAGTTAAATTGCTAATATTTTTCAAATCTTCTGTATCATTATTGATTTTTTAAAAGTTTCTGCTTTTTAAATAATATTAAGAGAAGAAACTCTCCAGCACTCCATTAAAAGGATAATATAGCATTACAAAGTTTGGTTTATTCTAGCAGTGCAAGGTTGGTTTAACTTTTTTTAAACAAAAACTCTGTCCATATTAATTTACCATAATAACAAAGATTGTGAGATTCATATATTTTTCCTAGTAATTCTTCAGTTTCATGTTATATATTTTGAAGCATGTATGTTTAGAATTGTTAAATTTTCCAGTAAATTGAACCTCTAGTTATCCGACTACTCTTCCAATGTTAGGTATTAGAAATAATACTGTGAACTCTACCATTATACGTAAATCTTTGCTTTATTTTAGATCTTTTCTCCTTAAGATAGGTTTCCAAAGGCAGAAGTAACAGGTAAAACATTTTTAGGGCTTTTGACGCCTCCAGCTAGACAACTCCAAGTTCCACCACAGTTGCTAGAGGTCAAGTTTGCCTATTTCCTGAACTCTTATCAGCAATAAGGCTTCTGTTTGAAATACCTCGCTTCTTTGGGAGACCCAAAAGAGAGATGGATAAAGTTCAAGCAATATCTGAAAATGTGACATTTAAAGGAGTTCACCAGCTGGGGGAAAGTGTTCCCCACAGAAGAAACAGCCTGTGCAGAAGCCCCACAGCAGGAAAGACCAAGGGGCATGTTTGCCATGATCACTGGCCCATACATCGGTGGGAGAACAGGGGAGGAAGTGGCAAAAATCTACAACCAGGAGCTTTAGAGAGAATGCAAGGAATTAACTGAAGTTTTAAAGATGGTCTCTCGATAGTGCTCTAGGTATCACATCGTCTCTTGCTAAGAATATTCAAGTGGTTAAAATTTTGATGTCTCAACAGTGATAATGACAAGGCCAGTTGCTTTATATGCAACATGGCCTTTGCTTCAGAAAAGACTTTGCAGATCTAGGCTGTCTCCAGGGCTGCTCCTAACTTAGGAAGATATAGTCTAACAAAAAACTCATCACCATGGAGTACTAGACCAGATGTAGAAATCAAAATGCAAGAAATCGATCATTTCCCTTTGGGATATACTTTTGGCAGGAAGGCTACAGTATGCCTTGGAAAACAGTCAGTTCCAATCTGCCTGCCTTGGGACACCAGACTGGTGTTCCCAAACACACAACTTCTAAGCACGTTTGCAACAGACCACGCGGCACAAGCTAGGCGGCCAACGTACTGTTCTCGCGGACCAGGCAGAACTCCCAGGCGCTCTGGCTCTCCAAAGTGCTCTCCAGGTCTACGGCGATGTTGGGCTCGCTCTGCTTCTCCAGGCGGTACTGGGGGCCTGGAAGACCAAAGGGGCAGGAGGAGGGGAGGAGGCTGAAACAGCGAATTGAACATTGTAAAGACACCAAGCACTGGCAGAAAGTGGCAAAGGCCTTAGGAAAACGCTGCAGTCTGTCTGGAGGGGCTAGCTATCCAGAAGGAGGAGTGCAAGGCTTTTCCCACATGGTTTCACACAGTTGTCTGTGCTATGATCAGGTCTGTTTCCATTCAGTTTTTCCTCAAACCAGGTGAGTGGTAATGGTTCTTAAGTCAGGAGTCCTAGGCAGCTACACTGTTTCTCAGACATAAGTAGGTAACCTACCCTCTCCAAACCTCCCTTCCCTGAACTGTAGTGTGAGAATACTTGGACTCTGAGATACTGTGAAGGCCTGAGGTGATTCAGGAAAAAACACTCAGTACAGCTGGCCCTCGGTATCCACGGCTTCTGCACAGTTACAGATGTGTACTATGTAGTTAGGCCTACAGCGGTGTCTCAACCGAACATGGACAGCCTCTGTCGTCCACTAAGCAGTACAGTATACTAACTATTCACATTTGCATTGTATTTAAAGAATACAGGAGGATGTCCGTAGGTTTTATACAAACATACCCCATTTTATATAAGGAACTTGGGCATCTTCAGATTTTGGTAGCCACAGGGATCTTGAAACCAATCCCCCTAAAATACTATTGTAATGATTAATAATTATCATTATAATCATCTATTACCGTCAGAAATAAGGTATGTTTAGAACTCTAATGATAACAGTTCAAAAATTAAAAAACATCTTTAAAAAACAGGCAAGAATGAAAAAATAAATCTCAGGTTTCTAGGTTATAGTGATGGAAAGGCAGTGGCTGCTGATTGACGTTTTTGTTGAACCATTGATGAAAACACGAGAGACACAGGTTCGATAATACTGGAAACCAGGAGTACTAGCTACCCTCATACAGAGGGTTCTGGAAGATTTAATAAAACACAGGGGAACATTTTATACATTTATTCATGTATTTCTTTGTCAAGGCAAATGACAATCTTGTTCCTCTGATAACACCTAATGGGTCCAATGATCAGATTCAAAAGACTGCTCCTGTAATTTGTTAATCATTATTGAAAAGATTAGAGAAATAGAAACTGTCTTATTATTTTGACTCAGTAAGGCATGTTTGGTCAGATAGGAGGAGGTGTGAGCGGTCTGAGGAAAGCAGCAGAGGCCGTGCAGGGCTCCCAGGAGGAACGCGTATTTTTAGCTGTTTTGCAGCTGTTGTCAACTTGTTGAGTGTTCACAACCAGCACTTCTCCTTGAATAGTCCGAGACATTTCACTCATTTCCAGTCACTCTTCTCTCCCATGTTCTACGTTCACCTGCAGCACGGTATTGATTCATTTCCATTTCATGGTATGTTTGATCTTTTCTCTAGTAGGTATTTCATTAGCACTTCAGCCTGCTCTCAGACCTCTGATATACATTCAGTCCTTCTTACGCCACTTGCGGCCTTTAAAACTCTGCTAAGTAAATGCTCAAAACAAAACTATTGGGCCAGCTGATGGCATGGAAGTTCAGGTGGCTGGATCCCACAGGGCCAAATGCATGGCATGAGACTGGACCTGACAGCTTGGGAAAAACGCTGGTAAGTGTGCATGCATGCCCAAAATCCCCAAAAGAGGAATAAATAGAGGAGAAAGGATTGTGGTGTGGCCATTCTCCATTGAAGATGCTTTCTCACTTTCTCTCCCCCTTCTTTTCTCTCCATTTCTCTGTGATGAGTAAACACACACTCTGGCAGATTATTTTAAAAATAAAACAACAACAATGAAAAAAAAACCCCACAACTACTTAGGCAAATACTTGCTCAGAAGTCTACACAATTCTTTTGAACCCTAATGCAGTCGTATTCCAGATAAAGAAGATATTGTGCATGAGACCAGCAGTTAGTGTAATGGCTATGTCGCTATGTAGTCGACTGCGGTTTGAGTCCTGGACCTGGTGGCTTAAACACATGCCGGGTGCGTGTGCATGCATGCCCAAGATCCTGAGAGGAGAATGGATTGCGGCGTGGCCATCCCCCTTAGGGGTGATTTCTTGCTTTCTGTCTCTCCGTCTTTCTGTCTTTCTGGCAAACGCACATGCCCTATAGCAAAAAACCTCTCTGGAGAAAAAAAAACAAAAACAAAAACAAAAAAACACAAAGATATTATGTTTCAATATTATACATAGTAACATTCTAATTTCAAAAATATCAAGCAGATATAAGTATGGAAAAGTAGGTAATTTTTTTAGTCTCTGCTACCTGTCACTGTCAGTGCTGACATGTGTCACTCAACAAGTACGTTTGCTGACCACTGGATCTAGCACGGTCCTGGTGAAAGGAAGCATGAGGAATCGTGTTCAGCTAAATGTGAAGGAAACCTAGCTGAGGACCTCGGCAGCCCACAGGAGAGAAGGAGTCAGTCCTGAAGTGGTGGGCTGCTTTAGAAGACAATGTTCTAGTAACACGGATAGTTCAAGTTTCCCAATCCTTAGCACACAGTGGGAATTTCTTCACTAGGGCAAGTCCTACTCAGTGTTCTGACTGTTCACATCCCCGATTCCTTCCAACAACATGGAGTATGTGAGGCAGTGACATTCACTTCTACAAACTTAAGTTGAACTCTGGGTTCAAAGTTTAGCTATGTTAATGTATTCTGGGGGCTGGCCCTGGAGAACAATGATTAGGAGCTAGCACAGGGAACAATCTTATGTGGCTGACAGCAATTCAAATCCCAATCCCAGCAGCTCAATGAACAGGCCAGGCATGTGTGTGAGTGAGTGTGGGTGAGTGTGTGTGTATTCAAAACTTTGACACAATGGAGAAATGGGGGATAAAGGACTGTACCACACCCTATTGGGGGGTATTTTCTCTTTCTCTAGCAAGTACATGTGCCCTCTGGCAATTAAAAATACAAAAACAAAATAACAGTGATGCATTTCTTTTTTAAGATATTCAAAATCTGGGAACAGCCTAGGTCTAAAGAGACTGATTAAAATATTGTGAAATGCCATGAAGACATTAAAAAGGCGAGTCTACAATTTTTTTCGTTTTCTAAGACATGTAGTACGTATTTTATGAAACCACAGATTACAGCATGGTGTATGCACGATGACTACAATTTGGAAAATGTACATGAAAGCACGGGGGCAAGGACTGGCTGATTTCTGAAACGTGACTCCTAGTTATACTGGATACTGGGATTCTGGGTGCTTTTATTTTTCCTCTGTGTTTTTCTGTATTTTAAATTTTCTTACAATAAATAAAGGCTACTTCTGCAATGTAAAAAGCAGCGTATATACCTAAAAGCTCTCCACTCTCTTTCTATGCCATTTTTCTGAGGTACTATTAACATAACATTGATGAAGTGCCACACCAGGGCACCTTCAATGGGTCTTTTACAGGCTGTCATTTAACCACAACGAGACCTGATCTGTTTATGTCGGTAGGTATTTTCATCTTACGTCACCTATACTCGGACATGAGTACTGTGACTCTGAGAACAGGGCACAGGTTGGGGCTTCTCAAGCTGTCGCCTACCTGACAGCCAGACTGTAAGGTAAGCTCCCCCTTTCCTGATACTGGGAAGGCAGGGCCTGGTGGCCTCGGGGAATTTCAGGCAGGTCTCCTCAGCTGCCTGAGGAAACCAGCAGAGTCAGAGTATATGGAAGGGAGGGTCCCTTATCCCTACACAATTCTCCCTGTCCCACTCTCGAAGCCTTAACACCATAATATGACATTTATTTTGTTACTCCTTGGGTCTTGGAAACATTTCCATTAAAATCTGTTTGTTTCTGAAGAGTGGGACTTTCTCCTTGAAGCCTAAAGAGCTGACCCATTCACTGAACGGTGATTCCGTGGCAGGCACACTGCATCACCTCCTTGACTCCTCACGGCACCCCGAGAGACAGAGCGTCACCCCATTTTACAGACTGATGAATCACCTGCCTGCGATCACAAAGGCAGGACTGGAAGGAGGCATGAAACCCAGGGGCCTCTGGCTTTAAAGTATGTGTGCTTTGAACCTTCCCTCCTCCCGCAAACTATAAATTACTGGCCAATTATAAAGAGGCCATAGTTTATACCATAAATATAGATTTTTGTGGATTTGTGGATTCATCTGGATTCAGAATCATTTAACTTATGGTTTCTATAAATTCAAAATGAAAATGATCTGAAATAATTTATTTTAATGAAATCCACACTTACATTAGGCTGTACTCTGGGTCTATGGTAGTATAAAGCCCCCTTATAAAGTATATGACCACTTTACCCTTTATCCATCTGGGAGGACCTTCCACCTTTCCTTAATATTCCTACTTAGGTCTAGTTTGATCAGGAACTGAAATTCTAAGCACCATTCTTTGCTCTGGGTGCAATCTGCTCTCCCATAAAAGTTAAAAAAAAAGAAAAAAACAACAACTTGGAGGCTAGCAGGTAGTGCGGAGGTTAAGGCACTGGATTCCAAATGGCTAGTTTCACAGTTTTAGCCCTGGACCTGGTGGCTTGAGAATCATGTCAGGCCTGTGTATATCCATGCCCCAAATCCCCAAATCCCCCCCGGGGGTAGTTTCTCACTTTCCCTTTCTCTCTCTTACTCTGTTTCTCTTTGGCCAGCACAGGCCACCCTATAGCAAAAACTAAATAAAATAAAGAACAACTTGGAAACCCACTTCTGAACTTGGCAAAGGACAGATGGGTCTTCACTGTGGGAAAGGCAAGGTGGTGAAGCTACAAACAACTGGAGATATAAACCTAAGTTTTCTAGATATAAACCTAGAAATCTGCATTTCTTTCCTTAATTCTTGCCCTAGTACCAGAGAAGAGATCTCAGAGGAAGACTTGTTCACACATTTCCCCCCAAAATAGGCCAGACTGATCATTCTAGGGCATGGGGTGTAGTGAGAGGCACTACAGTCTAGCGGTTAAGGGCATGAATTGGGGCCTGATTGCCTTGGTCTAAGCCCTGGTTAAGCAATTTAGCCGCAT